GGCTTTCATTTCCCCATGTAAGTGCATATCTCACAGAACTCTGAGTTCCAAGTTGGCAGAATAACAATTAGTCTTCTCCTTGCCCTAGAGGTCTGTGGAGATCTTTGTGTTCTGATCAACGGAAGATGCATCAAAGCCAGCTGAAAAAGAACAGAGCCTGGAGCCCTTACCAAAATGTTAGAGATCTTCTTGTGGCAAAAGCTCCAACTCTCAGCCAAAGAAGAAACAAAACTATGCAAATGCAGCCAGGAGTACAAGTCTACAAAGCTACATCAGGGGCCACCAACAAAGGCAAATGAGTAACGTAACCCAATTGTGGCAAGAAGGACTGTACATCTTCACCTTTAAACTGGGTTACCCACTTCTCTTTAGAAAAGTCCTCAGAGAAAAGTTTGGAAAGGAGGTGATAAGAAAAACAGGCAGGTGAAAGGTGGACTCTGGAATGCATCCCCTGCTCATTCCTCGGTCTATGTTCTGGTGTGTGGGAAATTGACTGACCTCAAGGTCTCAAAGGCATCTCTGGGAGCCCCTCATGGCAGCAGCCAAACCTAGAGAAACCAAGTCACCTGTGGCACTGAAACCTTTCTCTGGCAATCTCTCTCCCACTACTGGCAAAAACAACAAACAAAACATCCACTCATCGTCCCTTTCTTTTCAGCCCTACCCATGTAGGATATCTGTATCTGGCTGGCCAAACCAGTCCGCTTTGGCAAAAAGAGAAAGAAGGGCGCTTTGGGGAACCTATGACCAGCAAGAAGGGTGGCGTCCTCCTGGGGATGAACACCCTTTGCATCTAGCAGAACTGTACTCTTTTCTATGGGTGCCATGAAAAATCACACTGATTCCAAAGTCAGACCCTAGGCCCTCCCAGTTGTTTCTTGTACATCTGATTTCATTTAACTAAATGAAGTCCATCGTTTTTCACACGTTTTGTCAGTCCACGTATATTTATTGACTAGCTATATTCCAGGAAAATAAAACCCTCCACTCTCAAATTCACAAATTAGTGGGAGGGATTGTGCTGGGACTCACCTCTGTGTTGTGGGGGCCCTATCATGTGTCCTGTCTCTGCAAATTCAGCTGCCTTATTTGTGCAAGGAGGGAATTGGATGGATAGTTCTTGAATCCATGGTTCTGCCTGCAGCAAGCCACTACCTGCAGATAAGGCTTGTATTAGTTTTCTGTCACTGATAACAGAATACTTGAAATGGGGTAATTTAGAAAAAAACAGAATCAATTTCTTATAGTTTTAGAGGCTTGGAAGTCCATGGTCCAGGGGGCACATCTGGGGAGTGCCTTATTCTTGGTGGGAACTCTCTGCAGAGTCCGAAGGTGACACAGGGTATCACAGGGTGAGAATGGCAAAAGCACATTGACATGCTCACTTGCTCTCCTTATAAAGCCACCAGTCTGCTCCCTGGTAATCCATTAAACCATTAGCTCATTAATACTTGAATGGATTCATCCATCATGAGAGCATAGTTCTCACAATACAATCACCTCCCCCACCTTTCAAATACCATATTGGGGATTAAGTTCCAACATGAGCTTGAGGGGACATTCAAACCATAGCAGGGCTAATCACTGTGAGGGAGGAACAAACATTCAAGGGCAGTATCAGTGAGGTTTATGAGGAGCCAAAAGGGAAGATGAGAAAGACAAGCATAAGTCCTGCTAAAAGAGAAAGGAAAGAATCGAATGACTATAAAATAAAAGAGAAAACACACATACAATCCTTCAGATCTATGAGGCTAATTGAGTTTTATTGAAAAGTTTAAATAAAACCCTTTAAATGTTACAAAGTAACTTTTTTCTGCCTGCATATATTAATCAGTACCAAGTATTGTTGTTATCACAGCTAAAGTAAATATATAGAAAAACATATCAATTGTCATTCTGTCCGTTTGACAGTATTGTAAGGAAACGACACTGCAAGAAAAGCACATGAATATGGGCTTCCTGACAGGGATGCAAAGCAGGCGTATATAAAACTAAAAAACCAAACAACTCCCTGAGCTGAACTTTAACATGAAAACATTCACGTTCACATTTCATTCGAGTGAAAATGAACTAGGACACCTCATGGACGACCCCAGGACTCTGGCGTCACAATAACGTCCTCACTGAGCTATAGCAGCTGGTTCAGAGAGTACATTAATTAATTAGAGAGTACATTAATTAATTAGACATTCAGTGTGTCAGTCTTCAAGCTATTTAAAACTTTTTTTAATCAGTGCAATTTGTTTTTGAAGACTCTAGCAAATTATTTTGCTTGGCCTGAGCAATTTCAACATTTGCTAAATAACAGCTATCACATCACAGTTAGGTTTGATAAAATTCATTACGGAATCTTCATTACTGGCATAGCTGGGATATTACCAGATTTGACTATGCACCTACAGCATGAAAACATGAAAAAGTGTGATTTAGATCCCTAAATACAAGATGATTAGACTGGAGAGCCCTTCAAGGCTGGGGGATGGAGGTACTTTTATACTGAGCTCAAGTTAGTGACAGATTATTTACCACTGAACAACACAGTTTAAAAATTTCAACAAGTGTTAATTTGCCCTGCATGGGGATAAAAAGTCACTACAGTATATTTTAAACTGTAAGAATAAACAGAATAGTTATAGTGACCTTTTTAGTCAGTGGTGAAGGTTTAGAAAAGCAGCGTTGAGACACTAGCTCATATTCAGCCATAATTAAACAAACAAACAAACAAATAGCTAGTGTGTTTCTAATCCTAATTAGAAAGAAGTAGGCATCTTCAAAGTTATAATATTCTTGGAAATAAAAATACAAAAGATCTGGGAAAGGAAAACAAGTATTTTACAGAAAGCAAGCAAATGCATTTCACATGACTTGATCATTAATTTGATGGTACATTTCTCAAGTCTGACTTTCACTGATATTTCTTCATTAAATCAATAATTTCATTATACAGCCGCCAAGGAGCATCCAAGCCCCAGATAAAGTCGAGATGCTCCCACTCAGGAATGCGCTCGTGGTACACCAAATTGGTGATCTGAGTCAGTAAGACATTGATGTCGTTGTCGTCCGCAAGCCGGTCCCGACCTCCGCTCCAGACTGCAGTTGGCACAAGCATGTCCTTCACATTATATGTGGGTGGGTAAGTCTACAATAAAAAAGAACCACAGAAAGCTTTGTTGTTGTTGTTTTATTTTTCAAAATCACAATAAACACAATCTCCATTAAATATAGTCTAGTGAGTCTGATCTGACAGTCAGACACTAAATTTTGTAGATCACTTTCAGTATACTTTTCAAGTTACCATTACTGGGGGGGGGGGAATCTAACCCAAAATGAGAGCATACTAACTATAATAACTGCTAGTTATGGAGCTACTACCCTACGCTGGGCAAGGTAACAAGTTGTTAACCCCTGGGGAGGAAGGAATTGTTCTCCCCAGGAGTAGATGCAAAGTAGATGAACCAAGCGCTTGAGAAGAGACGTGCTGGAGTCATACCTTCCTACTTTCTCCCTTTGAGTGCAAGACAAACCATAGAAATGCTCTAAACCTCAGTTTCTTCATAGTTAAGTTGGAGATAAACACATCTATGTCACAGGCACGGGCTAAGAATTAAAGAAAAAAAAACACGGGCAGAGTTTCTCACACATTAGTGCACTTAGCACTCAAAAAATGCTAATTTTATTTAGAGAAAGGAGGCTTAAGCAATGTAATTTGGCCCAGGGCCCACAGCTACCAGGTAGCAGACCGGGGATCATCTGACCACTAAAGTCTAAATAACACATGACAGTGATAGTTCTTATTTAGAGCCAAGGCAAGGACACAGAGAGCAGGCCCTGTCCACAACACCAAGTGCAAAGCTTGGGTTGTTCTGGAATGGACGGAGGGAGGATGAACTCTATCTAGTCTCCCAAACACTACCCTCAGTGCCTGAACCTGTCCAGAATCCTGATAACCCAGGCTGGCTTCCTTGATGAGTATTCAGGGCCCATCTTAATTAAGACTGAAAACTTTACCTGGTTGTAATGAAAATAATTCTTGGCACTGCTTCCCCAGTCATAGGCCTGAAACTTTTGGGATTTAACAGTCTGAAAAGATAATTTGGAAAAAAATTATCTGACATGGAAGTCTGAGATAACACCATAGTTTGCTGGAGTTAGCCACATTCTTAGAAATCAGTTTTATACCAATATCCGGATTTACTCTCCATTTCCAAACCGTTATTTTTAAAAAAAGGGCATTTTTTTCTCCTTCACTAAACAACTCAATTTCTCATTATATGATTGGAAAGTAGCTATCACGTGACACGAGGAAGCAGTTACAGACATATGCTTTGAATTATGTTGGATCAACAGTTGCTCCCAGTGGATGAACTTTATGGTGACATTTTCCAGGGAAATTTTCATCTTAAACTTTTTCAAAGAGTTAAAGAGTTTACTTAAGAGAGATAAATACATTAACATATATATAATATATATAACATTTTCTATTTATCACCCTACTTGTCTAGTTATATTATTTGTTCATAGTTTAATAATTTTACTGATTTAACACTTTTTCTTCAGTACTGGCACCAGTATAATCACCAAATTGTACTGTATGTCAACACAATTCTAACTAGCTGGGGACACTAGAACCATGAAATAATTGTATAAATTTAATTTATGCATATTTAGGAGAGTATTATATAAAAATATTAACAAAAAGCCACTGGTTTCTAAAATTTGAAATAATGCCAATTCATATTTTCTCTACACCCCCAAATTAAAAATATGTCAAGAATCAAACCCAAGATTGGTAAGCCAAGTGCATTGGAAACTGTCAGCTTTGGCCACAGGTGGCACCTGGTAAAAAGAAATACTCAGACATTCTTCGTCAGAATACATTTGATTTAAATGAAGTTTCAGTTCTTATCAACTGCATAAAATCTTCGTTTGATGTAAGAAAAGACAGTGTGAGATTAGAAACTACAGGAAAAATGTGTAGTATCTGCTTTTGCCACTGCAAATGACAGACAGTAAATATCTTTAATAAGCAGAACAAAATATGGATTCACAGTACCTGTTAGTGCATCTGTTCCCTATTGCTAATTGTCAGTGACTATGAACCAACGCAAACTTCTGCCACTATACAGACATCAGTTTATCACTTTGTCAAATATGTCTTTCAGCATTTACATAAAGCACCAGGAGTGAGAACAGAATAAAAGGAAAAACTTGCCTACAGCTCAGACTGAGCTTCTAAATCTGACTTTTGTGCTCACAGTCACTTAGAACTTTAAGCTATCCACTTGAAAGGGCATCTCAAAAGGAGGGAAATGTGAAGATTATTTATAGTAACAAAAACCTGAAAATGAGCTTATGTCCAATAACAGTTAAATACATCATGTTATATCAATATACACAAACAGTATACCACCCTCATAAAAAATAAGTATAATAAAATAGGAACAGAAAACTGTTTATAAATAATTTTCATAAATAATATATTAAGTGGAAATAGTCAGGAAATGAAATTGAATATGCACTATGGTTACATTTCTGTGATAATCATATGCACATAAAAATCAGGAGGAAATGCTTATACTATTAGGTTAGATGGTTTTAAGACATTTAAAAATTATTTTTAGGTCTCAAATGGTAATAAAAATATAAATAGATTCAACTTTCCAAAAGTACAATATGTATCAGAAGTGTTAAAGATATGCCTACACTCTAACCATGAAGTCTACTCTTATGAATGTACCATCTAAAATATAAATAGATTCAACTTTCCAAAAGTACAATATGTACCAGAAGTGTTAAAGATATGCCTACACTCTAACCATGAAGTCTACTCTTATGAATGTACCATCGTAAGAAAATAATCTGCCTAATGTATAAGAACAGATCTGTAATAAAAGAATATTTATCCTAGGATAGTTTACTACTGCAAAAATACTATCATAAGAAGAAAAAATAAAATACAATTCAGGCAACAGAAAACTGTCCTTTACTACAGATATTTTTAAAATGTAGATACTGATCTGCAAAGGTATATGTTTTTTATTATGGTAGAGACTAATTGTCCCCCAGTGCCCATTCTTGCCTTCTTCTTTTCAGCAACAGAATCCCTAATGCTTTTGCTAAGCACATGGCCTGGATAGTATCCCCATCCTCAGCCCCCATGAGCAGCTAGACTGTGGCCATACTACTTCACTTCTGAGTTAATAGCCTTCGTGCAAAGCCACTGCCCTGGGCTTCCTCTCTCCCACCTTCCTGTGGGTTGCAACAAACACAGAGGTGACCCCGCTTCCCAGGAAGAAGAGGACAGCACCCTGTGATGGCAGAGATGCAGTGTGAAGGGACCCCCCTATCACCAGGCTGGGCCACTGTTCTCTGGACTGTATTATGAGAAAGACACTATTTACTGGATGTATTCTGGTGTCTCTGATACAGCAACTTAGCCTGTACTTAACAAATATGATGCTATTTAATTAAAGAAAAAGTTACTAAAAAAGTGTATGTAGTATGATCCTATTTTTGTAATGGTAATGATTATGTCAAAAATTGTAAAATTATACCAAAATATAAATAGTGTTTTTTGCTGGGTGGTAGACATACAAGAGATTTATTATCTTCCTTCACTCACAGTTTTTCTAAAGTTTCATAAAACATATATTGCATGTATAATAAAAATCATACTGAATGTCCTTTTAACGGTGTTTAAAAAAGCCTATCAAATGTACATTTTGGTTTTTGTTGTTGTTGTTGTTGTTTTATAAGCAGTAGCTTTCAAACATGAAAATCATCTGATGTACTTATTAAAATGCAGATCCTAGGGACACATCCCCAGGAATTCAGATTCTCGACAGGTCTTGGGTAGGCCCAAGAATCTGTATTTTTAATAGCACCCTAAGTAGTTCTGACCAACATTGTAAAGATATATCAGGACTGGCGTTCTTCAAAAAGGAACGAGCACCTGGGCTCTGGGCAGGCCTGGAGAGAGCGAGAGAGATAATAAGAGTCTTGGCTCTGGCAATCTCTGGAATTCTTCATGTTTACAAAGAGAATAGAAGGATTTGTAAACTAAATTTAAAAGCCCAGTAAAGAGCTAGGCTTTAGAAGTGTTAGTAAGTGAATGCTAATTGTTTAAACAAAAAGTAAACTTCTGAATGTACAGTGAATTAAATGGCCTCTAGGGGCACCCCAGGCTCATACCACAGGAGCCTTCCACCTCCACACTGCACGGCAGCCCTCGCCTGCCAGCATCCCGCCCCCACCCGCCCTGCCCCTGCTTGGGCAGAAGCCTCTCCCAACAGGCACCGGGGCCGCTTCCAGAAGCCGGGCAGCCCCTGACTCACAGCCCAGAGGAGGGAGAACCAAGAGAAGATCCTATGAAACAGCTGCACAAAGCAGCTATTGTTACTGACAAAGGGATGGCACAGTGACCAGAAGGGCAAAGGGCAAGGCTGCCTTCTGCAGTGAATCTGGGCTCTGGAAATATTCATGAGGCACATTCCAGTGTAGTTAGAATCTAAAGCCACAAGACCACAAGTGGGCCAGAAAGCAATGCTCTGGACCTGAGCCTACAGTCTCTGACCCTGGCCAGCTGCTTGATAAAATGGGCTGGAACAAGAACAGAAGCCTGGATTGTAGCCGACCCAACAGCTCTACTGCAAACCCAGTGCCCAGGGCAGGCCTGGGACACAGATGGCGGAGCAGCACCTTCTGTAATATGAAATCCAGCAGTCTTAGGATAGCCTTGGTTTCAACATTCTCAAGGTCTCTTGAGAGCCCGGGTCTAGTGGTCATTTGTACTTGGATGAGGCATGCGGTGTACCACACATGGCTACTGGTGGTCACCACGCTGGGGGGAGCTCAGCACCTGCCTTCAGCCTGGCTCACTCATCTTCCAGGCTTCTCTGGGAGTGCACTAACTCCTGAGGTGACACACACTGGGCCTTTTTGAGAAATGCCCAGGTAAGAGGTTCCAGGCATACTCAAAAATGTAGGGGAATTTTGGTGGCACGGTATATGAAGAAAACAAGTGACTATAAATAGAAATGTAACTGAGGAGAAACGCGGAGACCTGAACCGAGAGCATGTGAATTGGAGGATTTCTGGAGGTTTCGGGGCATGCCTTGAGTGGTACGGGTGTGCTGGCCAGTGTGTGAGGAACCACCTGCACTCCACATGTGCCCTTTCTAAGCCACAGCAAACTCTGGCACCGAGGGACTGACATTTATCATTTAGCCTTCTGGTCACTGCAGTGAGCTCCGAGCCTCAAGTCAGGTCCTTGCTGTTTCCTTAGAGATGAACCTCAGGGAGAAGTGAACTACTGTACTTCCCACAGACAGGGTTCCTGGGGCAACTTAGGAAGGAGACTAAAGTGTTGGGATGTCCCAGATGATTGACTCGTAAACCTGGATGGGCAGAAGAACCTACGGGCAGATTTTTTAAAAACACAGATTCTCAGGAATAAAAAGGAAGGAAAAACTGAAATATACAATGTGTATGAATCTGAAAATAATTACGCTGAGTGGAGGAAGCCAGACAAAAACAAGTATATGCTGCATGATTGTACATATAGAAAATGCTAGAAAATGGAAACTAACCTATAGTGACAGAAAGCAGATCAGTTGTTGCTTGGAGATGGAGGGGGAGGGGTGGAGAGGAAGGTGTTATAAAGGGGCAGGAGGGAATATTTGGGGTGATATGTTCACTATCTTGATGGTGGTGTTGGCTTCACAAGTGTATATAAATGTCAAAATATATCAAATTGCACACTTTAAATAAATAGTGTATGTCACTTATACCTCAATACAGTTATTTTAAAAAATAATAAAAGTACAGATTCTCTAATCCAAATAAATGGGACACAGGAGTCCCATTTCTTTTTCTTTAAAAAGAAAAAGCCTTGTTTGCAGCCAGTCCAACAGTTCTATGACAAATCCAATTCACATTACTTCTCTTAAGCAATATTGTATTAAAAGATATACTTTTAAAAGCAATTCAGTGATTCTGATGCAAGCAGAGTCAAGTTTGCAAGCAAGTTTGGAAATTACTATCCAAGACACCTATAGCGTCTTGGTTTAGAGCTTAATCAGTGAGTCATTTCAAATTTAAAAATAAGTTAGCTGAAAAAATATTGTACAAAAATATGTTCTGATGTGGAAATAAGTCCCTGACATGTTGTCAGAGGTAAAAAGAACAGCAAATTGTCAAACAGTAAGAGAAAATAAAATCTATTTTTACATCCACTATTTCTGTCTATAGCTTTAATCACTCTTTTCTTAAATGATATGCAGCGAGAGATATAGAGTAGAATGCAGACACATTTCCTACCTCTGTGTAGGGTTGTAGAATAATATACACCTTAAGATAATTTAAATTATTTTTTGCATATATGTAAATTCTAAATTTTCTAGAAAGAATATGCATTACGTATGCGATAAAACAATCAAAACTATATTTTAAGTTAAAGATGCCCATTCTTGTCCATGATTGGTTTAACTCGTTTATCCACTGATGTTCCAGGCATTCTGTGTTCATGCGTTAGTGCTGAAATAGCAGTTTCTACCTCCAAAACTGCTCTAAAATCATGCTTTCTAAAGCAACACAGAAATAAATCTGGGACACAATGAAAAACAGACAGAGGGGAGGGGAGAGGATAGAAGGTAATCAATCTGAGACTCAAAAAGGGAAGGGATAGAAAGGGGTGAGGAGAGGAGACATACTGCTCTAAAATCATGCTTTCTAAAGCAACACAGAAATAAATCTGGGACACAATGAAAAACAGACAGAGGGGAGGGGAGAGGATGGAAGGTAATCAATCTGAGACTCAAAAAGGGAAGGGATAGAAAGGGGTGAGGAGAGGAGACATGAGGAGGGAAGAGAAAGGGTGAGGGGAAAAGAACAAAGTCAACCCCAATAGCTGTTTGGCGAACCTATGAAGGATAACAAAAGCAGCACAAACACAGTGACAAGGACCCAGGACTCTGGGGAAGGAAAATGGGTCAGATCTGTAAGCATACTATCTTTATATTTAGGAAGGGTTTGCAGAAAGGCGCTTCATGAAATGCACAGACCTTCCTAACGCTGATTTTCCACCAACCCCAACTTCACCCCTGGAATGCCTACCTGGCTCCAGTGTAGCATGTTTTGCACAGAAGTTCCAGCAGGACAGTGTGTTGTATACACATCCACTCTAGACTGCAAAACAAATATGTTGAAATAAAGAATAAAGATAGTGTTAAGGTGGCATTGATAACAAACATTTTATTTTGCCCTTCAAAGCATTATAAACTACAGAGCCATGACCTCAAATATATGAGATCAGGGGTCAGGAAAAAATTCTTTGACCACAAATATATCCTATAAAAATATGTACAAACTTACATGGGAAATGCAACAATATAATAAATGTGGGGCTGTACAGGTTGAGATTACAGTTCATTTTTATTTTCTTCTTCATGATTTCCTGAATTTCCAAAAAAAATCATATAACAATCACATCTTGCTTTAATCATCGGAAGAAAAATTAATATAGCTTTTAAAAGTTCCATAGAGTCTTCATTTCAGAATTTCAAAATCTATTTTCAAAATGCAACATTATAAACTACAAATATATTTAGAAGCACCATCTATTGCTGACCAAGGATTTACATTTTATAAAACAAATACACATATATACACACACGTGTATTGTGCATGTGTGTGCATATATACACACACACGAATATGTAATCACATGTGAGGTTACTTCAAAAGGTTTGTGGAAAACAGAATTCAAAGATAATATGAATCTTTCCATGAACTGTTTGAAGACTCTGCATGTATACATACACATTTTGTGTGTGTGTGTGTAAATGGCCATACCAAATAAAACACGCTTATAGTAATTTTTAAAAAAAGAAACAAATCATTAGCAACAAATAGAGGACAGCAGCAGATGCTGTTCTGGGCACTTGCCAAAGTTGATTCTTGTGCCTCTTAAATGAAAGATCCTCTAGAGCTCTAAAGAGGCCGTTCCTGCCTCTCCCACACCACCCAACACAAATGAGCACATTCACAGAGAAGAGGCAATCACTGAAAGTTTAAATCAAGTCTTATGATGAACATACATACCATATTTAAATTTCTCTCATTAAATCCACAGAGAATGAAAAGGAGATTTCCACAAAGCTCCTTCATAATGACATGAGTGCACACGTGGGTGCCCAGCCACTTCAAAACCCAATTCTGGGGAAAAAATGCTTTGTCCCCAAATATGTCCTGCAAAACAAAAAGAAAACCAAGAGTATCTCAGCATTTCATTCTGGTACGCAGGACTCCATGACCCATCTCGGAAGCCAAGACGCACATCCAGTTTCCGCACACACGGCCCCAGGAGCAAACTCGCAGCCAGTGGACATTCAAACTAGGACACTACACGATAAGTTTACTGAGACAAAATCACACGTTACAGAGGTCTATTTAAATTCTCAAAATGAAGAGAAGGAGGCAGAAAATCAAATAAGCTCACAGCAGACTTCTACAATGGGAAAGAGCATTAATGATCACTCAACCCGGGGCCATCCCCAATACTTTTCATCCGACTCTGAAGATCAGTGGTGACTCCTGATCAGCAATGGCTGCTGGGGGTGCACACAGCTAGTCTGATGCTACTGGCTGGTAGGCCACATCCAGCCCACTGCCTCCTGTTGCATTTTTTTTTAACTTTTTTTTTATTGTGATAGAACATACATAGCATAAAACTGATCATTTTAACCATTTTTAAGTGTTCAATTCAGTGGCACTAAGTACGTTCTCATTGTTATGCAACTATCACCACTACCTATCTCCAGAACTTTTTCATCTTCTAAATTAAAACTCTGCACCCATTAAACAGTAAGTCCCCATTCCCCTCTCCCCCAGCACTGCTTGTTTTCATAAATAAAGAACACAGCCACACTCACCTAATTATGTGTTATCTCTAGCTGCTTTTATTACAACAGTGACCAGATGGCCCACAAAGCCAAATATATTTACTATCTGGCCCTTTACAGAAAAAGTTTTCCACTCCCTGGACTACACCATTCCTAACCAATGGTCACTGAACCTGTGCTCCTGGGGCAATCACTACATACTCACAGCCCATCTGCACATGCTTGTGCAATAGGAAATGGGAAAAAGTTCTTCCTTATAGTGAACCCAAATCTGTCCCATTATAATTTACACTCTTTCTCATATCTACGCTCTGGAGGGACAAGCAGAAATGAAAATCCCAAATGCCTACAATGGTAGTTGTATGGCTTAAATTGTCTCTCCGCCAAAAAAATAAACGAAAAAAAACCCCAAAATTATGTGTGTGTGTGTGTGTGTGTGTATGGAGATAGGGTCTTTATTAAAGTAATCAAGTTAAAATTAGGGTGGGGTGTGTATGTGTATATATATATACACATACATACATACATATATATATATATGTATACATACATATATATATATATATATATATATATATATATACGTTGTAGTCCTAACCCCCAGTATCTCAGAATAACCTTATTTGGAGATAGGGTCTTTATTAAAGTAATCAAGTTAAAATTAGGGTGGGTCCCCCTGCAATATGACTGGTGTCCTTAGAGAAAGGGGATATTTGGACACAGAGACAAACACACACCCAGGCAGAACACCGTGCAAAGATGAAGGCAGAAATTGGGTGACGCTTCCACAAGCAAGAAACACCAAGGATCACCAGCAAACCACCAGAAGCTAGGGTGAGGCATGGAGCCGATTCTTCCTTGCAGCCCTAGCAGTCTAATATAAATGAGTAAAACTGTAAATGGAAAAGGCCATCCTGCCTCAGAGCTGATGACCAGGGAGTGATGGGAGCTGTGGTGAACTGGAAGCTTATGCTCAGCCCGACACATGCAACTGCTGCTTGTTCTGGCCTCTCACTAATCCACAGGATATGGAGCACAGCTTTTTACCCTGCCATCCCCCCAAAAAACAGTTATAAAGACTGCAATGTTAAATATCCCGCTTTTTTAAAGGTGCAACTAATTTGAATTTATAACATTGTATGGGCCATATTCAACACTTTTCCAGTAAATTTGGCCTGTACATAGGCAGCCTATGATCTCTGGCAAATCAGTCTTGCATAAGACAACTAATCAATATCAAAAGACATACACCAGGTCTCCTTAAATGTTCCTCTTCTCCAGACTCACCACACTAGAATTTGCTGGGTAGAACCAGGAAGTAAATAACACATGTAGAGAAGGTCATGTGACATGAGAAGACATCATGTTAAAACTCATGGCTTTGAGTCTACATAATGGTCACATGAGACAATTACACATATTTTTTAAGCTCTCTAACTAAAATGAAGTTAACAGAATGATGCATCACTGACCTAAGTCACAATAAACCAAACTTTCCTTCTGCCTGACAAAGGATGTGAAGTTGACCTTGTACTTCAGAACTGCTACCCAAACACTACTGTGGCAAACTTCACTGAAAAGTATGCCAATGCAGCACAGTATATACTCGCACAGCTAAAGAAAAATTTACCTGATACATTGATAGGGCTGCTCAGATCAACTTTGATATCTTTATAATTTATACCTTTGTATTTCAAGAAGGGATTAGAGGGGATACTCTGCCTTCACAGAAGCAACATATATTTTTCAGAGCAGCTAATTCAAAAGTTTTGTAAACATTTATTCATTCACTTTCTTACCCTCCCCGTGTACTACAAAGCGCAGTTGTCTTGGACAGTGATTCCCAAATACAAGACTATTTAGCCTACCTCAGAAATCACATAGGGTGTTGTACAAAAACACGGATCTCTAGATCCCACCCCAGATTTTACAGAACACTATTTCCGAGGTGGGGTGAGGGGCAGGAGAGGGGAGCCAGAGTTTGTACTTTTGGAGCTACTAAATCATAATCTCCAAGGATTAAATTAAATTGAAAGCACACAGTCCTATGACACAGCAATTTCACTTCTCTATACCCACCCTACAGATATATCCCAAAAAGGGCAAAAAGATGTAGCAATAGCAAACTAGCAACAACCTAAACGTCTACCATAGAAGTCTGGTTAAATAAACAGTAATTTTTTATAATCAAAAACTTAGTATGCAGAAATTTTTAAAATGTGGTAGAGTTTTACATAGTAACATAACAGCTCTCTGAGACTGAAAAATGCAATCTGTTAATAATAAACCTGAGCAATTTATATAGTTGAGTCCATCTACATTAAAACAAAACAATGTATGAAAATTTCACTCAGTACATACAAGGGCTCTTCAAAAAGTTCATGGAGGGGCCGGCCCGGTGGCGCACTGGATAGTGCACCGCTTGGGAAGCGCGGCGGCGCTCCCGTCCGAGGGTTCGGATCCCACATACAGACCGGCTCCCGCTCACTGGCTGAGCGAGGCACGGGGGCAACGCCGAGGGTTGCGATCCCGTTGCTGGTCCCGGTCTGGTACGGGGGCGACACTGAGGGTTGCGATCCATTGCCGGACACGGAAAAAGACAAAAGACAAAAAAAAAAAAAAAAAGTTCATGGAAAGATTAGTATTAACTTTTAATCCCATTTTTCTATGAATTTTTTGAAGTACCCTCATATACATGTACATAAATTCACACAAGGTCTATAGGAAAAGACCCCAAACTGAGCACTGTGTTTAATTTTGAGAAAGACACCAGGAGAAGCCTTGGTAGCTGAGGAGTACTTTATTTGTACTCCTGTATCTGTGGACTGTTTATAATGAAAATCAATGTTTCTATTACCCAAGGCATTAAAAGAAAATTTGGTCAGAGGGAGCTCCACCTTATCTGCATGTTCTGGTCACTGGTGCAGTGAATCCCAGGTTTTGAGTCAGGTTTTGAGATCATAGTCTATATTTCCTGCAAACACCTTTTAAGTGGTCCATGAAGTATATCATACCTGATTTTAAGTATATATTTCTGTACAGGATTTCATATGTGTTTATGTAAGTGCAGAATACATAAAACATACATAATGCTTACATAATGGACCATTTGCCTTAGCTAGCTTAAAACTGCTTCTCATGAACGCTCTTTCCTCCTTGAACAGAGCTTGGGGTTGCACAGCTTCAGGGTCAGTCCCGATGAAGTTGCTGACTTGTGTTTAGGGTCCATATTACAAAATATAATAACACCAGTATCTTTAGATCACCCACAATGTGGGTAGGGATGAACATGTGGGAACGGCACATTTCCCATACCCCATATCTTGCCTAAAGCTGTGCATGGGCTCACCTTGTGGAATAAAGGGCAACTCCTCCAGGAATGTTTATATTATTTTCTCACAGGCAACCAGGTGAGCAACAGAGCCAGCTGCCCTGGGTCCTGAGACAGGAGCCGAGGGCCAGTCCCCTCTCACCACCTCCCACCACCCCATCCCACAACAACATCTTAGAATGAACTCATTAGCCACATGTGTTTCTTTGGGGGTGGGGGGGGTGTGTGTGACTTATCTGCTCACGTCCTTCACCAAATTTCTCCTTAGATTTTTCTAACTCACTTTAAGGGTTCTCTTTGTATTAAGGATGTTCATTTTTGTATGTTAAATTCATTCCTTATCAATTGACTTTAAATTTAATTTGTGATGTTTTCCTTTGTTTCTATGTTGAGAAAATAATTTTCTATCTATCTAAACATTAAATAAAAATAAATAAATAAATAAAATTATTTTCTTATAGATCTTCTTGTACTCTCATCGTGATTGTGCGGTGGGCAGAGAGCTGGGCTGACTCACGTTAGCCCTGAGTTCATGTGGCTGCACTGCACAGTTAATGATCTACTCCCTGCAGATCCAACAGGCCTGGATCTGGATGCAGAGGTGAAGCAGGAGAGAAAAACCCACTGCTCCACTGATGGCAAAACTCAGAGGAGGAAGGCACAGATTCTCCCTCCAATGGGCAATTATTCAGATCGGAAGAGGAAATTCGTTGGGAGAGAAAAGGGTGGGGAGATCCAAGTACCTTAAAGAGAAGATCTGGAAATCGTCCCAATTTGGCTAGAGGGCTAGCACAGAACTCGACTGAAACCACGGGAGCCAGGGCAAAATACATTTTAATCCTTTTGGCCAGCTCAGGGATCTGTGAAAATGCTATAAAACCTGTGGGAACAAGAAGAAAACAGTAATTCCATCTTCTGGGACGTCCTTCTCAGGGAAGGCGAGGGCGGTCACTCACGACGCCCTCTAGAGGCAGCCTGAGAACCACGCAAGCAACACGGCCCTCAGGAGGCAGAACGCTTGAAATGGGGCCCTCTGACCTTCCGAGTGGGCAAACACTGTGTTTGATCAAACTAGTAAATCAAGTATTACTTAAGTGCTTGTTCCAAATCTCAACCTAGATATGCACTGGAAGAAATCCTGGTTGGGAGAACCAGACGATCTCCCCTGTTCCTTCAACAGTGTGAACCTTAGGCCTGTATTCCTAACAGCTGGCCTCAGCCCCATCTTTATCCCCACCTCCCGCCTCCACCCCTCCCTCCATCCCTAGGAGCAATTCACAGATGTAAGGACTCAAAAGGAACTCATGTTTAGAATCCCCTAGCTTTAAAATATCTTTCAGCCCTCTCTCAGGGCTTGCTACTCTTGCTAGTTGGCCCCAGAATGTCACTTAAGAAAGCAGTGGGGCAAAGGACACATGTGGGCAAGCCGTGAAAGAAGAAACACAAATGAAGAAAAACGCCCAACTCCATTTTTCTGAAGGTGAAGCAATTTAACCATATATATCAAGACGCTTAAAAGCATTCCCATCTTTCATATAGTAATTCTCCTGGAAATGTATTCTAAGGAGGTCATGTGACATGAACACAAAGGTGTTAGTCACAGTAAACACTAAAAGGGAGAATGAAATAAATTCTGGGACAGGTCCCTGGCCCCTAATTAGAGCAACTCTTGCTTATGAGAATTATGGGCAATTTTTATTTTCTTTGAACTTTGCTAAATTTTCTATTTTTCTTTATAATGAATGAACATTATTTTTATAATCATTATAACTTGAAAATGCACATAGCTTTTTAAAGCTGTAAAGTGTAACTGTCATCCTTGTGGTTAGTTATTCCACTTAACTTTAAAAGTCATTACATTTTCTAGTTTTCTTCTTAAAAGTCTCTGAACTTAGAGAACTTCTTGTTTTCTACCCTCTCACATGCCCATATTGCTTATTTGGGAAAATACATATAGGATGTGGCTTACATTAATTCTTTCAATTTCAAGAGAACAAATACCAGGTTTTTCCATTTATATTAAAGTCTGAATTTCCATAGAAGACTAAATATTACCAAAATTCTTTGCCCTATTATTTCTGCTTGGCATTAAACAAACACACATACACACACACAAACTACTGTATTTAAACTAACATTATTTTTTTATATTTCACTTTTAAGAAGAAATGCAAACTCTGTAATAAAGATATTATATCAACTTCCAATCTTTATTACATACAAACCTATAGTGGTGCCTTGAGAATGACCCACGTAAAACACTTGTTTTTGGCCAGTTTTATTCAGAATGAAGTTAACTGAAGCTGGTAGGTCATATTTTGCCATCTC